ATCAATAACAATAACAAGACAAAGTGTGAATAATAAACATCAATGTCAATAAAAAAAAACAGTGTAAACAATTAACTACAATAACAATAAGTGTGAAAAATTAACATTAATAAATTTACTATACATAACAATAATAGACTATGGCAATATATAACAATATAATAAACTGTGAAAAAGCTAACGTAACATAAAAACAAAACTATATAACAAAAGGATGGATCTGGAGGGAGAAAAACCTTTTAATAGAATAACGACAACAAGACATTTCATCACTTGACACTGTTGAGCGTGTGGCCCTCTAAAGGCACCACCAAGGAACTCCAAGAGCACAAATCCCATCACTTGACACGAATCAGCACTTCCCGGCACCCAGCATGTGGCCCTTTAAAGGCACCACCAAATAACCAACACTGATAGATAGCGGAGAGTTGTCAGTAGAGCAGCCTCTGGACATCACGTCTGAAGGATGCTGGTGATGGCCCAAAGAAATCCAAGTGTGGGCAGACGTCTTCGCTAAATCTCAGCAGTCTGGAGATTCCGTGGTGAAGGGTATAGTTCGTGGGCTGATACCTCCTTCTGAAGACAGCTCTGGATCGGGTTCCTCTGGGAGCGTCAAAGTCCACTTCGTTCAAGAGTTCGGGGCAGTCAATGATCCCATTTGCCACTTTGAAAAGGAATACAATGTCGTTGACTTGTCGTCTCAGGGGAAGTGGTTGAAGGCCAAAGTGCACCTCGAGAGCTGCTACAGGAACGTCGAGGAAAGGAAACCCGAGTTTCAGACCCAGTAGTTTGAGAAATCGTGTTTGAATCCTGTTTAATATTTCAATATGGCCAGTTTGATAAGGATTCCAGATGACAGAGCAGTACTCTAAGATTGGTCGGGCTAGGGATTTGTATAGCGTGACGAGTGCCATGGGAGATTTGAAAGATCTTGTGGAGCGATGAATAAACCCCAGCAGAGAAGAGACTCTTGAGGATATATGGATGAGATGATCATGTGGGCTGAGTGAAGGGACAGTGATTACACCAAGATCTCTGAATTTCTTGACCACGCTGAGACTTCTGCCATCGATGCAATAGTCATACTCATGAACTAAGTTACTGCGACTGAGAAACATAACTACACATTTGGAGACATTGAGCTCCATTGCATTTGATAAGCACCATTTGCTGATGTTGTTAATCGAGTGTTGGAGCATTTCTTGGTCATGTGTGGAGGTTACTTTGTTGAACACCTTAATGTCGTCAGCAAATAAGAGAAATTTAGTTTTAATTTCTGGGCAGATGTCGTTAATGAATAAATTAAACAGCAGTGGACCAAGATGAGAACCCTGGGGCACTCCAGAAGTGGCAGTGAAGGGACGGGATTGCTCTCCATCACACCTAACAACGAGGATGCGGTCAGTGAGGTAACTTTTCAGCCAGGAAAGTAATGGGCCACAGATTCCATAGCCCTCAAGTTTAGCAATCAATAAGCGATGGTCTATTCTGTCGAAGGCTTTGCTAAAATCCAGATAGACACAATCTACTTGGGAGTGCTCGGTAAATGCTGACATGATTAGATTGTGGAAAACGAGGAGGTTTGTACAAGAGGAGCGACCCTGGATGAAGCCATGTTGTTCTGGAGCAATAAATCTACCAAGTTGAAAGCTCAAACAGTCAAGGATAAGGCTTTCATAAATTTTGGACAGGGCAGACTGAATGGCAATTGGTCTATAGTTTTTTATGTTGTTTTTACAACCTGATTTAAAAATAGGAACAACAAAGCTATGCTTCAGCACCGTCGGAAAAGTTCCCACTGAGAGAAGTTTTTCAAAGTAGATTTGGAGGTGGGGTGCGAGGACAGGGTGTTATTCAAGTGTAAAATAACATTGCATTAAATGAAAGCGCTGCAGGTATGCCCGGAAAGTGGTGGGGGGAGCTGTCTGTAGCCGGACCGCACAGCTGCTCTTCAGCGCGCGATCCATTGTGTTTATATATCGATGGGATTGACACAGAATGACATTGCCTTTGACAGGTTGTTTATGATAGCACCTTGCACCAGAAATGTCACGATTATGTGACGAGTTTGAAAACCGGTACAATGTTTACATGGATCCCATAAGGACTATGCATCACGAAATTTAGGGAAGCAAGCTAAACACAACACTCCTTAATACAGACGAATTGAAATATGTACTTCTCTCACATTGTAACCCTTTTGAGGAAAGTGAAACCAAGCTACATACCTTGCCTCTGAACCAGGTTATGACCGAAAAGGAAGCAAATGATCAACCGTGATACCATAGGACAAGACTGTTTTTAAAAGTATTGTCCATCAGCACTTGGATAAAGGTGAGATATGTGTTTTGGGGTCGTATGAGTAAAACTGTAAGTAAAACTGAAGACGTCCAAGTCATCAAATGTGACAAAGGCAATATCTGTTTGCGATAAGGTAATTACGGTGAAGGAAGAAAGTAGCCTACTGCATATGTTCATTATAGCAGCTAGAAATCACCGAGCATGTTCGCGAGCATGTTCTTGACGGTGTTGGCGGTGAACATGTTCGCCCGTGAATGGAGGGGGGGGGGGGCAAGTCGGCATATTGTTCTTTTTGGGAAAAAGATGTGTTGCACTAAATTGTGTGGATGTGTTGAGTGTAACAACGTACCATTAGAACAAACAACAGATTTTGATGGCGACAAACAATGACTGTTTAGTTTATACATTTGGAGAATTCAGTATCTTATACTATGTTTAGTATGTGATGTGAGTTTTGTTATTAATCATTTTAACTTGCCAAGTACTTTATTATTCACAGTAATGTATTACACAATAAGTCCGTGGTATCAATAAATACCATAGCCAGCCGTTATTTTTATATTGTCGTTCAATAAAAACATTTCGGCATTCTGTAAAATTTTAGTTAATTTTCACACAAAATTCGCACAAATATCAGTGGGCGTTATACCCATAAAAGTCAAACATTTATCTTACAACTGGTTTTGTTCCTACAATTCCTAATCACAAAAAAATATACAGGGTGATCAACTCAAGGAGGCCACCATTGGGATATCGGAAACGGTAAGAGTTAGAGAAAACTTTAAATGGGGGACATTCCTTTATTTTTTGTGGCAGTTAAAAATATGATTTAATTTTTTCGAAATTCAGCCGCCATTTTGGAAAATGGCGGCCAACTTTGAAATTGTTTATGGAACACCCTATATTTTATGATGTTTTCGGATAGAACAGGCAATTTAAAAAAATTTTTATTCTTGACATTTTTTCGATAAACCCACTCGTTTAGGAGTTACAGTCTATGGAAAAATGACTTCCGGTGTACATTTTACATCATGTAGCTCCTAAACAAGTGGGTTTATAGCGAAAATGCGAAAAGTAAATAAGTCAAATAAGTCTTAAAATTGCATCCACATTCCAAAAAGACCATAAAATTTGTTAAAACTATTAATGCTATTATTTCAAAAATGGCGACCATTTTCCAAAATGGCGGCAAACTTGAAAAGTGGAAAACTGTGTATTTTATGGTCTTTATGGAATGTGGATGCAATATTAAGACTTCTTTGACTTGTTTACTCTTTGCTATACACAGTTTTACACTTTTCAAGTTTGCCGCCATTTTGGAAAATGGCCGCCATTTTTGAAATTGATAGAATTAATAGTTTTACAGAATTTTATGGTCTTTTTGGAATGTGGATGCAATTTTAAGACTTATTTGACTTATTTCCTTTCCGCATTTTCGCTATAAACCCACTTGTTTAGGAGCTACATGATGTAAAATGTACACCGGAAGTCATTTTTTCATAGGCTGTAACTCCTAAACGAGTGGGTTTATCGAAAAAATGTCAAGAATAAAAAAGTTTTTAAATTGCCTGTTCTATCCGAAAACATCATAAAATATAGGGTGTTCCATAAACAATTACAAAGTTGGCCACCATTTTCCAAAATGGCGGCTGAATTTCGAAAAAATTAAATCATATTTTTAACTGCCACAAAAAATAAAGGAATGTCCCCCATTTAAAGTTTTCTCTAACTCTTACTGTTTCCGATATCCCAATGGTGGCCTCCTTGAGTTGATCACCCTGTATAATTATCATTGTAAAGAAAAGTTATAACACTTATATCTTACTTTACAGTCACGTTTCTGTGACGTTTGGTAGCCATCTTGGATTAAGGCTTGTATTTAATAATGAAAAAAAATAGCAACAAGTAATTTTTTCATCCTAAGGTACACATTAACAATTTTCAAAAGTTATTTCAATTTTAACAGGCCAGTCTAGCGAATGATACACACCAGCCCACACTAAAATGTTTCAGTTAGCGCGATAACTTGAGCAAAAATGGTTCGATCTTGATTACATTTTGTAGAAACGTTTAAACCTACGTTTATTCAAACGAGCTCGAACCAGCATGAACGCACTACGGGAACGGGGGTTTATGTGGGGTTTTATGGGGTAAAAATTGGTTTTTCCCATTTTTGACTCTGAAAACAACAGATTTCTCAATTTCTTTCCAGACCATTCAGTAGAGCTTTAAAAAAAGAAATAATTTTGTATATTAGAGCGTTGTTTTATGCCTAACGGTTGCGGAGCTAATAAAAAAGACTTTAAATTTTAAATTCCCATGTTATTCTAATGGAGAATAAATAAACTGTTGTAGTTTGCATGATTAAGGATATATTTTAATCAAAGTTGGCAATTTTGTTTATTTCATACTAAGCTATCAACATATAAATAAAAACACATGTCAATACCTTCCCTGTAGCAGCAAACCTAGGTACTCATTAAAATTATTGTTATTTGAATAGGAAACAATTCTGACAATTTTCAGGGCACATTTTAGTAGAAATCAAGCCAGGTAAATGGAAATCCACCTAGTCTGCAGGTTTGCTGCAGCGGGGTTATTTACATTTAGAGCAGTAAAAGCAACACATATTATCATTAAACAATGAAATTATCACTCATTTTTTTATGATTACTACTTTTGACTCATCGAAAACTAACCATAAACTCTGCTTCGGTGATGTAGAACTCGAGGTAGAACGGCTGTCCTCGACGGAACGGAAACCTTTCAGCAACTGATCCCTCCTTATTGCCCCACTTGCCGTTCATGTAGGTATTACGGTATGTATAGATCTTTTTCTTACCAATAATTGGACTAAATTGGAATACAATGTCAGGCGAATCATAGTATTCTTTATATCCAGACAAAAAGTTCACTTCAAACCTGGAATGGACGGAGATTCATTTGTAGACTTATCAATTTAGTTTGTAAAAAAATTTACATAAAACACTTTAAATTAAAAATGACTAGCTTTTGCCTACTCAAAATTAAGAGGAATTATACATTATTTTGTTGAATTCAATTTTGTATGCAGGTTCGTCTGAAAACCAATGAATTTGTTAAAACATGCTATATTTATTATACCTTAAAAATTATCTTATAATGAACAATGGAATGTGGATAACACTTTTACACTGTACTTCTTTTACACTTTTAGCATATTTTGTGATATAAACACGCAAGTAAAAATGTGATGAATGGTAAATTTTGTATTGAAAACCAGTTATAATTATAAAAAAAAACCTATCACAATGACTAAAGATGAATAAAATTTTATTTTGTTTACACCATTAGCATTTTTCATGTTTTTTTTGTAAAGGGGAAATGTAAACCGTGGTCTTGTAACGAACCACCGTTCCTAGCCTACTTGTAGTTTACATCAATAATTAGCAGCCAAGTGACAAAATGGCACGTGAGTCCAGAATTGACCATGCTAAGGCTGACAAGTCAGTTCAGTTTTGAAGGCAAGCGCTATAACTACTCAGCTACTAAGGTAATCAAGCATATTCATAAACATAATGATATTTCACCTGTGGGTAAAGTGATCAAGTAATTAAGTGGTGATTATCTGATAATATAACTTGTGTTTAAACATACTTAAAAGTGACAAAAGTTAATCTTACCATGTAGCATTATCATCCAACGTCCCTTCAATTATAAAAGAAGACTGGGCATAAGGTTGAGCCGTCAACTTGTATACTGTATGTATTCTCTAAAAACGATTACTTCATTAATACAGTATAATATTACCAACAAGATTGTTTTTTTTTAATAGGTTAACAGCTGTGTACCTGTTCTACGCACGGGGATCTTATAGTATTCAGTTGAAACCTTCTTATATACAATAGGTCTTGAGCTTCCCTATTAGGTGCGTCTTGGAATTTTTGAAACACATACACGAACTGTACACTTATACACATGACGAATAAAACATAAATACACGGTAGGCTTACTTTTATTTTTACGATGGACATGTAGACACGCGTCGGTCGTGTGCCGAGTCCCGACTGAAAACGCTCATTTAAAAAAAAATGTAAGTTTCCCAGCCATATACAACACTGATTCAACGTATTTCCCCGGTTATCAAAACTCAAGAACAATTTTATACACAAAGAATCTCTATTTTCATTTGCCCTACAAATTATTGCACTTGTGATTAATTAAATCCGTTATGTAAGGAGAAACGTTTTTAATCTTACTTGGTTTGGATTTGCTTTCAAAACGTGATCGGAATTGGTTACGGTATTTGTGAACACCATTCAATGTAAACGCATCAGAGACAACTAGAAGAAATAATCTTGTTTCGAACAGCTGTTCGTTATTTCATAGATGAATATGTGATAAACATTGGGAGAAAACTTTACAAAAATCTCACAAAATTGGGTTTTAAACACCGTCATTGTATTTACAAAGTGGTGACGCCATATTTTAATGGCTAAAGACAATCTCGCCAATTCAGTGAATACATAAAATGATTTGGAACTTGATAGGTACTCTCGTTTTGCAGGAGAAGGCAACGTAAATGGCTCTTGGGCCGTGACCGACAGGAAGACAGACAGACGGACAGACAGAAATTTAGATAAGACTTGTTTCGGTTTCTTCAATGTATAAAACGTAAAAATAACCTAAAATTTTATGATTCTGAGCAATATACATACAACACTCCTATTTTATTTATATAGATCGGCGTCGCTCACCTTTTTTAAAACAGGAGAACTCAGTCCTTTGTAAATTGGCCTTACAGTTCAATACACACTAACACACATTTGATATACAAAAATAATAATAAATGCTCGACTTTGGTTTTCAGTTCCGACGTTTCGCCAGATGATAATGGTCAATGGTTTGATGTAAGTAATCTATTTTACAATGTACCTACAGTCCCATGTTTGGGCATCGGGAAACGCAAATTGATTAATGATGACACTCTTCCTGAGAGAACTAAACTACAGATTGGATCTATCATGGCTCACGATCTGTGTAGATATAAATCATGTCCAGTTAGAGGATTGTGTTTACTCTTAAACGGCGGGTGTTCTGAGTCCCATTTTAAGTAACATCTTTATGGAGGTCCTTTGAACAGAAAGCCATTATTACGAAAGCTGAGGCTAAGCCTAAGCTATGGTTACGTTACGCAGATGATGTGTTTTGCCTTTAGGAAAGTTATATTTCAGAACTTACTAGGTTCAAGGAACATATCAATAGCATTTGGGTGATACAATTAAGTTTACAATTATTGAACTCGACAATGATTACAAACTTATGTTCTTATATGTAATGGTTGATAGGTCCTCAGGCACTTGGCATACAAGCATGTACAACATTGGCACGCTACACAAGGATTTTCCAGTGAACAAGGGACACGATTAGAGTTTTGCTTAAACTGCAGAAGACAGTAATTATGTTTTCGTTACTGCAGGAATATATAGGATTTCGCCGTGACCACTAGAGACTATTATAATACCTGCTTAACCGTGTGAGATACCTAATTTAAAATGTTTACATTATTGTGGGAAACGATAAAGATGTCGACACAACCACGGGAGACAATCAGATATTTGAAGACGATGATGATTATTTCATTACGGCAAAGATAATCAGGAGTCTGAAGTGAACGCAGGAGACGATAGTGAATTCAACACGATCGTGGGAGATTTAGAATTTAGCTATGATTGCCGAAGAGAACGATTGTGTTTTTGTTATTCAGATTTTTCCCGTGACCAAGGGGACGATCAGAAATTTGCGAAGATCGTGGAACACAACGATAATGTCCACACGACCACAGGAAATATGTATGACTAGCAGAGTACCCGTCCTTCGTACGGGGTTGGCATATAAGTTTAAAATGTGTCTTGCACTTATACTCAAGCTTTGCGTTTGCAATAGGGGAGGACAAAGTTTGATAAACTTTGCATCTTCAAATTGGCGGTATACTGATGATATTACGCATTTACCATAGCCAAAATGTTCTAGCACCTCACCTAAACAATAAAAAAAGAAAATATTACGAATTCACAAAAAATCACAAATTATTCATGACATTACAAACATAAACATAACTGTAAACAATTCAACTTTGACAGTTCTCATTGCGTATCACAGCTTTTTGTTGCTGCTTAGTTCCAATTAGCTCATATGTTAATCGGGAATGTGAGCTATCATCATGCCAAATTTCAGCCCAATCCGTCCAGTGGTTTATCCTTGATTGAACTTCAAACAAACACACAAACTTTCACATTTATAATCTTAGTAAGAAGTAAAATTTGTTTACAATGCAAAAAACGATGATTATGTTTCGGTTATTGCGGAGGAAATTCAGGGTTTTTTAATGACCGAGGTCGACGATGATGATATCTACACAATCGTGGAGGGGGATTAGAATATTGTTGTGATTGTGGAAGAAAATGAAGATGTATTCACGACTGTAGGAGATGATCAACATATTACCTGAAACACGCGGTCGATCTCCAACGTAGGACGCCCAACGTCTGTCTGCCCTCCTTCCACAGGTTTTATCTAAAATTCAGATACATTGGGTTAAATTAAAACTATGTTAAGATCAATTGATTTCGAATAGACAAAAAATAACCTTTTTTTCTCAACCTGGATGTTACATTCCACTGACGAGTATCATGACTCATTTTTGTTTAAAGTTGTACTAGTTTTTATAGTACGTGTTTTGTAAATGTCGATGTTCTGATACCCCCAGTATACATGTGTCCGCTATGTTCGGTGAACTCTTCTTACTCCTGATTGTCAACTAGACGATTTATAGGCTCTATGGTTGGTAATGATTAAACATCTTTGTGATTGTCAACCGTGGTAAATCTAAATGTCATTTTTGGTTTTGTTGTGGTTTCTCCGCTTTTCAAAAGACGTCTCTCCACATGGGAACACGCTTCCAATTTTTTTTAGCTTAGATGCAGGTGCGATATTTGATCTTTTTCAGATGTGTGGTCTTTGAGAAAGTCGTAACTTACATCTTCGATAACGTGTCAGCAATCACATTCTGCGGGATTCTTCCGAACTCATTGACAAGAGCAGTCAACTCAGCAACATTGGTGATAAAGTGCTGGTAGAAACCTATTATACCAATAAACCTGTCAATACCCTTGGCATCCTTGGGAAGAGGAAACTCCATAATGGCCTGGAACCTTTCAGGGCAATGCAAATGTCCATGTGAGATACTAGATGACCAAGAAAAGAGAATGGCGGCTTAACAAAACTAACCTTGTCTGGATTTACCGTAAGGACAGCACTATGCAATCTACTAATTGATTCCTCTAGCTAGATGAGTCATATGGTCTTCGAAACTCTCACTGTATACCAAAAGGTCATTGAGATAATTGAAAACATATTTGAATTTAACGTCATGAAAGATAGAATGAAGGAGACTGGTGAGACTCTGGGCCCCACATCTTAACACACGCATTAGAAGTTTGTGAAATGGTAAAAATTCCACGGGACACAGAAGGCATTTGAGGATCAGGTTTCAAAGTAATATGGTGGTAATCCTGATTCAGATCGAAAACATGAAATATGTTAGCCTTACCAAGCCTATCAAACGCCACATGCAATTCGGGGAGAGGCACAAAGTCGATTTCTACTTTTAAGCAGTTTGCAATAGTCCGGGACCATTCTGGACTTGACATTGGGCTTTAGGACGAGAAATGCCGGGATGCGAGACTAGAAAGGGAGGGTTTAATAACATAGTTTTCCATATGTTCAATATTCAATTGGACTTTTCCAATCTTGTGTTTAAAACTACACAACGTTTGTGGAGGTGTGTAAACTCCTCCCGTTATCAAGTGAAAAATACAAATGCTACATTAATCTTAATCCTATGTTAAAAATATTTCTGAAAAAACTTGGCAGATTGCCAGAAAATATAACGTTGAAACAGCTTTAAAATCACATAACCCCATAAGACAACTAGTTTCAAAAACAAAACCAACAAACCAAGAACAAGCCTCCAAACATGTTATTTACAGTATCCAATGTGAGTGCAATAGGGAATATATAGGTGAAACTAAACGCCCACCACATGTGTGCATAAACGAACACAAGAATAGCACAAAAAAGGGTACAACAACATTAGAGGAAGGATTGAGCAATTTTCCGCAAACAAATCAGTTTTTTTTATGAAAGATCTGCCCAGACTAGTAAAAGATGGTGGTCCCGGTGCAAACACAAACTGATAGAGGCCCTTTTGTTTTAGCTCCTCAATCACTATATCGACGAGCTCCTGCTCACCGATTCCCAAACGTGTGACTCATTCTATCGTACGAAAGTCCCCTACATACTGGTCGAGAGACTTGGCATGTTGTTGAGAACGGAAAGAACTCTCTACCTTCATTTTCTTCACAACATGTTGGGGCATAAAAAGCTCCAAGACTTCCTTGTGGAAACCATCAAATGTAATGCCTTCTGAAGCAATCAAACAATCTGTCGTACGACGGATTCAGATAGTACATAGCAATGAGCTGCGTCAAAGTTGAATCAGAGATGCCAGGGTACTCACGCATGCGCAGCACATTATCATAGAAAAAGAACATGCCACCGACATATAATCTATCCACCAGCCGAAAACCACACAGGACTGAAGCGAGGGGATGGGGTGGCTTAGCAAATTAATTTGACAAGGGAATTGCCAATATTGACTTGAGGACCCAACTAAGCAAGAAACTGTAAATTTAATTTGGCCGCGGACAAGGTGGATGTATGAAAGTGGACACCACAGCAAGCGTAGGCATCTGGAGCATTGTACTTGGGGACAATAGTGCCTAAATGGGAGTTTCCCGGAGCAATAATTTAAACATCAGCTTTTTAGGTGTTTCCACCAAAACCTCTTAAAAGGTGTCTTAAAAAATCTTTATTTTTTCCTTGACAGACGTGCCCGCCCGGATACTCTCAAGTGTCCCTTCCAGCTCAAGAATTCTTGCCTTGAGCCAATATTTAACATGGTCTTGGATCTCAAGTGGCTAGCTAACAATTTAAAGTGATTTCGCCAATGTTTTGAGCCAGCAGGAAAGTTACTCCAACTACTGATTTCACCATTTAGTTCTTGCATTCATTCTCTACATGATGCATGCTCCTCCTTCAAGTGACTGATCCCAAAATTAAGGCTTACAGTAGACTCTTGATAATTCGAAATTACCTTTACCTACAATATGTCTACAATGCACATATACAATACACCTAAAACAATACGTCCTGCAATTGCTAATTTTAAAATAAACGAAATTAAGCCTGTGAGTTGTTTAACATAAAGGTAAATGAAAATTTTGAAAACGTAGAAGGATTAAAGAAACACATAATAACTGTTGGCATGATTACACAGTGCTAACGGAATCAAGCAAAATACATGCAACATACATAACTATCATCTCCCCCCCCCCAACCCTAACCACCTCTAAAGCCCCACTCCCTCTCATACACACAACACTCTCTCTCTCACACACTCAGTAACACTCTCTCTCTCACACTCTCTCTCAGTAAGACATATGAAATTGAAACTTTGCACAAACATTTATGATAACTAGTAAAAGCATTAAAAGTATGGATAGGGAGTACTGAAACTGTATATATTTCAAACAGAAAAATAAATTCATTCTGTTTGCGTCTAATCACTTTGTTTCTCAAGTATTTATTATTCGATCTTATTTGGTGTCGTTTTACAGGAAATTTCAAATGCCAAAAAAGGGTTTTTGGTAACTTATCATAAAAACAGCAACTTTTGAGTAATTTAGTTTACAAATTAAAGTTGCCGCCATCTTGGAACCAACACCAGTCTGGCCCCTTTTCAGGAAAGCAGAAATGCATTTTTTAATTTAAGTTATATAAGTTTAAATACCTGTCATTTCGAAAACAAACGAGATTTTTTTTATTTACTGTCCTTTCTAAAATATATTATGCCTTAATAAAACTGTATACCAAATTTCATGAAGGTAGGCTTCCTTGAATAGTTTTCGTGACACAAAGAAGCGAAAATAAAATATCTCGCATACAAGGTAATTTTCGGAAAAAAAATTCTTCTAGTTTTTTTATTAAAGTTTGACCCATTAAAAAGAATTACATTGACTCCTCAGGATTATTCATAGTGTAAATTATGCTTTTTATGATAGTGGCACGTTTTAGTTACGCTACAATTCCAATAAATAATCTACAGACAACAAATTCATCCACCTGTGGCAGAGGGGAAGGGTACTCGGGGGTGTTCTGGAAGTGGACATTGGTCAGAGTTATATGTCCGCGAAACCGGATCCTGTTAATATCTCTAAAAGGCTCTCTGTGTTTGTAGGAGACGTAGTGCAGACCATCTACAGCCACCTGACAGAAGCACACCAGGGGAAGATTAGTATTGAAAATCTCAAAAACGCAAGGACATCTGGGTCCAGTTTAGAAAGTCTAAATGATATAAGCTCAAAACATCCAAGGAGAAATAAGTTCAGTTTCTAAAGTCTAAATGCTATGCTTTTTCTCAGGATTGACTGTTAACCACTCAGCTACCCAGCTCATAAACAAGAATACATCATTATAAATACTTTAGAGACCCTAAGAACTATGTGGAAATATTGCATTTTGCTAATTTCTACATGTTATATAAGCATTCAAACAACGAATAATAAGTGGTTAAAGTTATGAAAGTTTTTAGCCCAGAAAAAGTGCAGTATAGTCTTGTATGTATAGTAAGCTGAGTAAGCAAATAATAATTTAGTCTAACAGATTACAAAACCCTTCCTTCCTACTTTGCCAAATAAATATTTTGGAATTACTATTTTCACATTTAAGCAGTAAAAGCAAAACATCTTTAAAATGAGAAGTATTCATGCTACCTTTGACTTATCCGAAACTAACCTTAAACTCGGCTTTGGTGATGTAGAATTCGAGGTAGAATTGCTGTCCTCGATAGAACGGAAACCTTTCAGCAACTGATCCCTCCTCATAGCCCCACTTGCCATTTATTGCTGTATTACGGGATGTGTAGACATTCTTAATAAACCATGGTTGAAATTGAAATCCTTGGTCAGAGTAATCTTTCATTGCACCGTAGTTAACGCGAGGCCAATCATCGTAAACTTCATTTCCAATCAAGAAGTCAACTGCAAACCTGGAATGCCTGGAAGTTAGTTTGTGTGGTGCCTTTGATTCAGACTAACTCAGTGAAGTGAATTATCAATTAGAATTCTCTTGAACAAGACTTTAAAATCTGCAATTATTCTGCATTAAAACAACATTAAATCACGAACATAAATAAAAAGTGTAAACTCAAATGACATGCCTAAATCTTCTAAATGCAAAAATGATTGAAAATAAACAATATCAGCATTCTGACACATACTTTCTCCCATTAGCTTGTCATCAACCTTTATCATGGCTAAGCGGTGATTGTATATAGCTAAAAATTCCTAAAACTGCAATAACTTTCGAACCGTAATTGTTACAGCAATGGGGTATTGCACTATCTTTTTAATTATAAGGACCATAAAATAAAAGTATTGATCAAAACCAGCTTTTCTAAAAAAATCTGATTTTTTTGTTATTATTTCATGTTTTTTATGGAAAAAAACATAAGTAACAATAACTTTTGAACCGTAATTTTTACGGAAGTTGGATTTGCACCATTTTCTTCAGAATGTATAGGAATATAACACAATAAATTTTTAAGAAAATCGTTTAAGCCATTTTCGAGAAAATCTGATTTCTCCGTTATTTTATGAGGTTTTATGAGAAATTCCTCATTAAAAATCCAAGTTTCAAAGAAATGAAAACGCGTTCAAACTTTAAGGACCATGACTAAAAAATAAAAAACATGACTAAAATCATATTTTTCGTTATTTTATGGGGCTTTTATGGGGAAAACCATAGTTTACTATAACTTTTGAACCGTAATTTTTATAGACATGGGAGTCATACCATTTTGTTCGTAATTTAAGGGCTACAACATACTACATTTTTATCAAAATCGTTCGGCCCATTTTTTTAAATCCAATTTTTTCTTTATTTTGTGGGTTTTATGGGGTAATCAACATTACAAATCAAAATTTCAAAAAATTAATAAAATACAGACAAATCTATACATATGTAGATTTAGTTCGTCAAACATTTTATGAGAAATATGTTAATTTTAGAATGTTGACTAACTGAAGTATAATCCGCATGATCAGGAATATTAAACAGTATTTTGTTTGAATTCAAATTTGTTATGCAGGTTTGTCTAAGAACAATGAATTTGTTAATCCGTGCTATTATTTGACAGACATTGGCAATTATAATGAACCAACACTGGAATGTGAGTAGCACTTTTTTACTTACACTTTTTTATTTTACTAGCATATTGAATACCTAAATATGCATACCTAGCATATTTTGAGATAGAAACTCACAAATAATAATGGGATGAATGGTGACTTGTGTGTTGAAAACCTGTTATATCTTTTCCAAAAAAACTTATCGCAGTAACTGAAAATAATTTCAGATTTACAATTTTCATTTATTAGCATTTTTCATGTTTTTTTGTAAAGGGAAAATGTAAACCGTGATCTAGTAACGATCCACCTTTCCAAGCCTACTTGTAGTTTGCATCAATAATGAGCTGCAAAGTGACCAAATGTCACTTGGGTCCAGAATTGACCTCGCTAAGGATAACACTAGTCACGTTCAGATTTGAAGTCTGTAAGTACTGTAAGTACTCAGCTACAGCTACTCAGACAATCAAGTCCATTCATAATGATATTTCACCTGTGGAAAAAGTGATCAAGTAATTATGTACTGATTATTTGAAAATAGAACTTGTGTATAAATATACTGCATAAACATTTATCTTACCACTTAGCATCATCATTCACCGTCCCTTCAACTATAACAGAAGACTGGACATAAAGTTGAGACGTCATCTTGTATACCATAAATATTCTCTAAAAACAATTACTTTATTAATACAGTATAACAATAACAAGAAGATTGTTGATAGCATGAAACCCATTATGTGCTACTTTTCCATTTCCCTAGTATTTTTTTTTCAAGACTGAACTTGCAAATTGTTCGAGCTATTGAGTACCTACTTAACGTCATAAAATTACATAGGCGTAACCTAAAAAAAATTAACACATTCGCTGCGGGCTACTACAATAATTATCGAAGTACCTGAGCGCTATAATTGAGCGAAGCGAAGCTCTTTGGGATCAACTTCAATACAAACCTTCTAACACATTAGCTCAAAATCGGCTGAACATATTATAGCCAAACTTACAAAGGTTGTTTCGTCAAATGTTTGAAAGGCTTAGACGAAACCAATAAAACAAATGTGATAATGCCTATAGAAACTCAAAGTTTTTAAATTTTTTCATTGGCATTATGGGTTCCCTTGATGGTTACAAAATAACGACGTAAATATAAACAAAACAAAGAATCATAGCATTGTTAAAATCAAGCCATTATATAAACAAAACAATTTGGATGATGACCACTGATCGAATAATACTAAAGTGGTCCTAAGTAGTTTAAATTTAAGTTGCAATTTGGAAACAACCACTGGTCTAAAAGGTACAGTATTTTACAGATTTGTTCTAGCTAAATAAGGTGTGGTCGACCAGCTTATTAAATGTATTTTCGTGTGTATCATATCCGTATGTGTTTCCAGTTTATTTATTTGTTTATATTTTTGACGAACTCCACATGAGGGATTATCAAGACATTCTGGACCTGAAGATGTGCTATTAAAAAAAACATGAAACAGCTGTAGTCATCATACTACCAAACTGATCGTTTTGACAGAAAAAAAGGTAATTTAAACCTATATTAGTTTATTCAGACGATCTATAGGCCATTCCATCATAAATAAGGTTATATCAATGACATTTCATCTTATGTTATAAGAGCTTAAAACAACTACATGATTCTCTTGCTTTAAATTACTAGGTATTCTCAAATCATCATTTGTATCTAAATAGGCTATTATAAACATGCATTCTTATTCTTTTTTATATTTTTTATGATACCTTCTTGCTGGCTACACACTTGTTGTATTGATTGTTTTGTAGGCAACCACTTGGATACCCCAAGTTATAAAGTATTATTGCCAAAATAGGATAAAGTATTTTTTGCGTTTTCGTTTTACAAGAAAATACCCAATTCGCATAAGAGTATTTTATTAAGGAGAATTTCAGAATGCATTCTCAAAGACTATCTGATATTTGTAGAAAATGAAGACGACTAATAAACGCCTGAAACGCACCAACCACTACTTCCACAACTTCGGGTAATGTTTTGAGATAGTAAATGTAGAGGACTTTGGTTGAAAACAATGCTTTTCATAATAACATTAAATGTATACAACTTAAGAAAAAATACCTCGGTTGGTCACACGGACACGTGGGATTGTCAAGTCCACCATGGTGAGTCACGTGGTGGCCGCCCGTTTACATTATTTGCTATTTGCCGACCCTGAGTAGACAGTCCTTTGATTAATTGTTCACCAAGATCTACCACAACGATTCATTCACACGCTGAGTCTACGCCGACTCACCAGTCCCTCGTGCACATTACACGTAATGTTTCCTCACCATAGGCTACTAATTGTCCAAATCCGCACCAAAACAATCTCATCAAAAACATAAAACATCCACACATATCATAAAACATGAAATACAATTCCCCCAGTTAGTCTAGGATTATCTCTCAAGGTTAACACTAACACAAAATTGGTAAATAAACATAGATTACCAGACTGAATTAATATAAAACGCCGTGTTACTTTATAACAATAAGTTAATGTTATAGGCATTCCAAATCTATTAAACAAACTCCACTATTATTAACCCAGTAGACAAGACGACAAAGATTTATCCACTTCTAGCATACGTTAATTTTAAATTCTTATGGCAAACACGTTGTTTAAAATCCATTAAACATCGTACTCAGGCCAAAGGCAAATGCTCAACACGACTATTGTGCCGGTTGGGACCTGCTGATCTCGCACATTTTATCATAGTATGCCATCGAGGAGGTCGATGACGTATTTTTCCGTGTTTGCAGGGATATTCAGGATTAGGTCGAAACCGAGGGAGACATTACCTATAAGAATGATAGTGATGTCCACACAACCGGGGGAGACGATCACAATTTTTCGAGATCGCGGAAAAAAACGACACGACCACAAAATTATTCAGCCACAACACAAAAGACGATGATAATATTTCGGTGTTTGCGGGGATAATTTAGGATTTTGTCATGACCACGGTTAACAATGATGATTTCTACACAACCGTGGAAGGTGATTAGAATAGTGCGATGTTCGTGGAAGAAGATGATAACGTGTCCATAAACGCGGGAAACGATAAGGTCTACACGTACGTAGGAGGAATCGGTCACCATCACGGGACATGATGAGGATGTTTTTATTTGCAATTTTGCCGCGACCGCGGAAGACAGTGTTTATGTTTTCGTGACTGTGGAGAATATTCACGATTTTGCAGGGATTGTAGAAGAAGATGAAGATGGCTCCACGACTGTAGGAGATGATCAGTATATTACCTTCCATACGCGGTCGATCTCCAACATAGGATTTCCAACGTCAGTCTGCCCTTCTTCCACAGGTTTGGTCTAAAACTCAGATATATTTGAACAAATAAAAACTAAGTTAAGATTAACTGTTTTAGAAAATACAAAAATACACTTTTTTTCTTATCCTGAATGGTTAGCCGTGACTTCGTTCCACCGACAAGTGCCATAACACATTTTTGTTTCAAGCCGTCCAAGTTTTTTTACAGTACGTTTTTTGAACAGTTCGATGTTCTAACGCCCCCAGGGAACAGGCAAATTATTCTTGCTCCTGCCTGTCAAGGAGGAGATTTAGGGATTCCATGGCTGGTAATGAGTAAACATCGTTGTGATTGTCAGCCCTGGTTAATCTTAATCAATGCTAGTAGTGGAAATATAGCAAAGCAACGTCACTTAGGGCGTTGTTTCCCATAAGAATAACATGGGTGTTAAATAGTTTTTTATATAGGCTTGTATAGGCCGAGAGCTGGATTTTTAAAAAAGTGGTCAAAAAAAGCTCACCATGTTATTCTTATGGGGAAAACGTGCCTAAAGTGGGGTAAGTTCGCCACTACTTTCCCTCATATTGCCCCTACTTACATAAATATCGATTCGTAAAAAATATACTCATATAATAATTGGCTCCTAAAATGTATACATTGTTGAAAAGCTGAAATACACAACAAAACTAATATGACATTTGTAGCACATTAGTTCGTCAGGGTTGACAATCACAACGAAGTTTACTCATTGCCAGCCACAGAGCCTATAAATCGTCTCGTTGACAGGCAGGAGTAAGAAGAATTTGCCGAGCAAAGCAGACAGCTATCCACAGGGGGCGTCAGAAGATCAATATTTCCAAAACACGTAGGCTACTATAAAAAAACTTTAACAACTTCAATAAAAAATTAAGTCGTGACACTCGTCAATGGAACGTTGTCATGGCTCAATTCAGTGTTTTACATATTTCAAACAGGACGATAAATTTATACTTTTTGCACCCAAAAACTTGGATTTCTCAGGTTTTTATTATTCGATCTTATTGATCTTGTAGTCGTTTTACAGGAAATTACAAATGCCAAATAAAACTGTTTTTTACCTTTTCATAAAAGCAGCCATTTTCAAGTAATTTAATTATATCGTACATAAAAAAATGTTTTTTATTTAGGAACCAAAACAAATCTTGCACCTTTTAATAAAAGCAGCTATTTAAGTTTTAAATTTAAAATATCTGCCATCTTAAAAAAAAATCAAACCAGATTTTTTATTGATTGTTGTTTCAAAAATATATCATGCCTTAATAAAACAGTATACAAAACTTCATAAAGATAGGCTACCTTGAATAGTTTTTGTGAAACACAATGAAGCAATAGGAAAATATATCTCAAACAAGGTATTTTTTTATTTAAATACGGTTATTGTAGATTTTTTATTTTAAAGAGTTACATTGACTCCTCAGGATTTTTCAACATGTAACTTATGTTTGTTATGATAGCGGCAATTTTCCGTTGCCGGCTCTTGCACTTAAATGTGATAAATTATCTACAAACAGTAAATTCACCCACCTGTGACAGAGGGGAAGGGTAATTGGAGGTGTTTTGGAAGTTAACGTTGGTCAGAGTTATATGTCCGAGAAACTGGATCCTGTTAATATCTCTAAAAGGTTCTATGTGTTTGTAGGAGATGTAATGCTGACCATCCACAGCCACCTGACAGAAACACACCAGGAGAAGATTAGTTTTATTGACCCAACAATCCAAGGACATCTGGGTCCAGTTTCGAAAGTTTAAATGATATGCCTTTTCTCAGGATTGACTGTTAACCACTCAACTACTCAGCCTATAAACAAAGCTATAGCATTATATGTATCGTGTATAGCGGAGTCAGAGATTAGTTGTCCGCTTGTGTGTGTGTGCCTGTGTTCGCACCCAATAACTCAAGAACCTTTGCATTAATAGCGTTCAAATTTTGCACAAATATTTATGACACCTTTGTAAAGACACCATTGAAATTTTAGACGATTCCGCTCAGTAGTAATTATAAAACCCATAAAATACACTTTTAAATTTGTCCCATAAGAATAACATTAGAAGCCACCTTCTTCTTCTTTTAATTTGTTTACGTTTTGTGGCCAACAATTTTGTTGTCTACTTAAGACAGAGAGAACGACTTTTACTCAAAGCTCTTTCATTAAGCATTACACGTAAACAGTTTGACGTCTATGAATATATGATATTATAATTTCAGAATAATAAATTGAACTTTTACAATATTAGTCGGCAGTTATATACAGTTATACAGTACGGTATTAAAACTCAGCTTTTCATCTAATATATGTACGTATTTACTTACTATTAAGCAGTATAAAAAAATGCAAAAATGCAAAAACGGCATGCACAAATGGAGAAGAGCAACCGCACCAACCAGCTCTGGCAGGAGAGCTGGGAACAGGAGTCGCGGGGACGCTGGACCAGAAGACTGTATCAGCAAGTCCAACCATGGGTTGACCGACGGTATGGTGAGGTGGACTATTACCTTACCCAGTTTCTGACAGGTCACGGGTTTTTTTCGGTCGTACCTTTTCAGGATGGGCAAAGCCGTGACACCCGATTGCATCTACTGCCCAGGCACTCCCGACGACGCGGAGCACACCTTTTTCCGCTGCCAGCGTTGGGAAGGTACCCGTCTGGAGGCTGAACAACATGTAGGGCAGTTGTTTGGTGGACACGGTCATTCCGATGATGACGGTGAGGACAATTGGACCTGTATGTCACATTTCGTCCAGGATATTCTCCGCACAAAGAAGCTAGAGCTTGACCGAGATGCAGTCTAGGTCATAAAGAAATTGAATGCCGGAAGCGGCGCGAGCCCTGAGGGCTTAGGTCACATGTTGACCTGACCTGAAGTAATGTGACAAACAATCCCAGGTCTGTGTCCAACAGAGTAGAGGGGGTTTTTAGTAGTCTGACAAGCTCAGGAGTCTCACACTACAGGCTGGCTACCTGTGTGCGTAAAAGCATTTTTACCTCCTCTCCCTTATAAAAAGAAAACTATTAAGCAGGCGTTTACATTGTTCAATTTAATGTTAGCCTATTTTTATACCAAAAACATGCTGTAGGCAAACCTATAATATAGATCTTAAATACAAAATAATTTTACAAAATGAAATCACAACGGCTTTGGTTTAGATACAAGTTTGAAAAGTTAAATTACATAGGCCATAAAATAAGAACAGATTTAACATTAATTGATGTGTTCGCTGGGACGTAAATGAATAACCAACTAAATTATTAGGCCTATATGCTACGTGGTTAAATTCATGAAAAATGTAGCGACGTCATCGTTTAACGAAAATACTAGGCTAACTTACCACCTATTTAATCTGTAATACTACACACTCTTACTGGTTTCAGCTACAATTTAAAATAAGGCTTTTTTCTGATAAGTTAATTGATTGGCCTACCTTAAACATTTTAATCGGGAACTGATTAAAACCCAAAGTTAATGTATTGATAAACAAATTAATTCTTATCACAAAATAAAATTATGAATGTCCCAAATTTTTGCAAAAGATCTTAAGAAAGAACAAAAGAATGTTAAGAATAAATCGCATTCCAAGCAAAATCATTGATAAAAATACATTTTTAAATTTGTCCCATAAGAATAACATTAGAAGCTACCTTCTTCTTCTTTGTATTTGTTTACGTTTTGCGACCAACAATTTTGTTGTTAAAGTAAGTAAATCTTACCTATAGTAAAAAAATATAAAAAGTTAACGATGCCTACAGGATTCGAACTGGCTACCTCGTACTCATCGTCTGAGTACGCTGTCATAGACTTAGCGGGAGTATGTTTTATCTATGACGCTATTCACTACACCACGGACTATTTTAAAATCAGTCAGTTTATTTTTTAACAAATCGATTAAGTAACTTAGCCTATATAATGTAAAGTAAACCTAAATAATTATAGTAACTTACCTTTAATAGTCTCTGTATAGGAAATGATTAAAATAAAGTTAACAACAAATAATTCTGTTCAGAAAATAAAATTATAATTGCCTCAAATTCTAATAAAAGATGTACAGTGAAGAATAAATCGCATTCTAAGCCAAATTTTTTTCAAAAGTTTACGCTGCTGGCGGGATTCGAAACGGTAATCTCCAGGTTACTAGTCGAGCGCTCTAACCACTACACCACGACCGTCGGCTACGAGCCGAAGGCTTGGCTCTGTATCGTTGCGCTAAAAGTCCAAGAATTTTAGGAATAATAAAGCCATTCGACCTAACAAATTCGGACTAAGTGGAAACCTTGCACAGTTGTTTAGTAAGCCTAAATAAATAAAATTTCAAAAGTCCCCATAAATCCCTGCTATGCTTCAGCCGCCATCTTGGAAAATGGCGGCTAATTTTCACTTTTTTGACAATATTTCACAAACTATTGGTATTAGAGAATTTTTGTAAATACAAAAGTTAGAGAACGTCTACAAATACATCTTTTTTATATTACAAGGTTTGCTCTATCTCTAATGGTTATTGAGATAAATAATAAAAGTTAGTATTAAATAAAAAATACCCATGTTTTTCTTATGGAGGAAAATAAAATTGTTGCAGTTTGCTTATTTATGGATATATTTTTATCAAACTTGGCAAATTTATTTATTTTATACTAAGCTTTAAATATTTAACATAAATATACACTTTAGTACCCTCCCTATAGCAGTAAACCTAGTACTCGTTAAATTTAAAGTTATTTAAATAGGGAATGTATCTTACATTTTTAGGATATATTTTTAGTAAAAATCCAGTCAGGCAAATGGATATTTATTTTTTTTAGACATATTAACAATAGTTTTCCCTTATTAATATTAGTAAGTTTAAAGCTCACTCACTATATTTTCACTACTTACATGGTAGGCATACTTATTACTCCCGGTATAATTATTTAGTCGGTAAATATTAGGAAATTGAACCTTAAAATCCGGACTTAATGCGGCTGAGGCACAGTTGGTATTTTTTGGAACTTTTGCCATTTTCATCAACTAGTCTCACTCTGTGTAATATGATTGAAAAATGAATATCCATTTGCCTTACTGGATTTTTACTAAAAATATATCCTAAAAATGTAAGATAGGAAAATAACTTTAAATTTAACGAGTACTAGGTTTACTGCTATAGGGAGGGTACTAAAGTGTATATTTATGTTAAATATTAATAGCTTAGTATAAAATAAATAAATTTGTGAAGGTTTGATAAAAATATATCTATAAATAAGCAAACTGCAACAATTTTATTTTCCTCCATAAGAATAACATGGGTATTTTTTATTTAATACTAACTTTTATTATTTATCTCAATAATCATTAGAGATAGAGCAAACCTTAAAATAAGTAATATAAAATATTACTTATACATATAAAATATTATAATATAATAATATAATATAATAATAATATAATAATAATATAATATAATATAATATAAAATATTATATTATAAAAGTAATATAAAAAGATGTATTTTTAGACGTTCTCTAACTTTTGTATTTACAAAAATTCTCTAATACCAATAGTTTGTGAAATATTGTCAAAAAAGTGAATATTGGCCGCCATTTTCCAAGATGGCGGCTGAAGCACAGCAGGGATTTATGGGGACTTTTGAAATTTTATTTATTTAGGCTTACTGTGCAAAACTGTGCAAAGTTTCCACTTAGTCCGAATTTGTTAGGTCGATTTTCCTAATATTCTTCCACTTTAATGGTGTTACAGAAAATAATTACCAGCTGGTTATACACATGTTTACTAGCCACCTAACACTACAAATCTATATATATAATACGCTAAGCCGATTTTTATGAACAGAACTCCCTCATTTTTGGACCGATTTTGATGATTAAAATGTCAAAACAATGAATGGCCCTGATCTGTAGTTTTGCAAAGTGTTTTTCGTTTTTTTATATCTATATATATATAATACGCTAAACCAATTTTTGTAAACAGAACTCCTCCCTCATTTTTGGAGCGATTTTGATGATTAAAATGACAAAACAACAGCCCTAATCTTTAGTTTTGCAAAATTTTTTTCGTTTTTTGATATCTTCATTAGTTTGGGCAGGATCTCCCATCAAAGTTGGATTTTCTCCCATAAGATTAACATTGGGGAATCTAAATACAGGGTGTTTTTTTTTTAAAACTTGCATCTTTATTTATATAAAAACCGCAATAGATAGAAATATGCAGTTTTCGGGAATCATCTATTGACGTAGGGGGCCCAATTGTTTTGAATTCAACGTTACATTCACATTCCCCCCCTTTCCCCCCCTTCCCCCAACTTATTTTTTTTTAAATAGCAAGGTACCCCTTGTGACATATCAAATGAAAGAGCATGGAAAAAGAAAATGTGTGATGAAAAAAAATTAAAATCGGTTCATAAATGTGCGATATATTCCCCCCCCCCTCTTCCCCGGAACTTCATTTTTTTTAATAGCAAGGTACCCCTTATGACATATCAAATGAAAGAGCATGAAAAAAGAAAATGTTTGGTGAAATTTATTTTTCATTTGATATGTCACAAGGGCGGGTACCTTGCTATTAAAAAACAAGTTATGGGTAGGGGAAAAGAGGGGGGGATTATCTCACAAATTCATGAGCCGATTTTTTTTCACCAAAAATTTTATTTTTTCATGCTCTTTCATTTGATATGTCACAAGGG